AAAGAATTCAATATATACCATTTGCCTGACACATTTTCTATTTTCTTGACAATAAAACCCCCATGAGTGTACGCATGTTAAAAAGAAAACGGAGAAGAACACAGAGGCAATTTACATTGCTGCTAACCGTTTCTGAAAAATATAAATTTAACTTTTATTCATTAAGAATATTTCTTATAATACAAATAAATAAATTTAGTGTATATGGGTACGGTTTAAGCATTTTATTATAACTTTAGTAGTGAGAAATTGCAATATAATCACAAAACATATACCTAATAAAAAAACCGGGTGATATTTTTCATTATGCGGAACGCCTTTATTAAAATATCGAGGCTCTTTTATAAATAAGCTTTCAAAGGTAGTCGGTTTACTAGAATGGAGTCAAAATTCAATTCGTGACTATGTCGGTTTCAAACTCCTCGAGTGTCATCTTTATTGGGAATATCTGCTTAAATTGCATAAAAATGCGGTTCTCCAGCTAACTTTTCTTAGTCACGGATATTTCACCTTTGGATTATTTGGTATACCTTAATTCGAGGAATAGAACTAAGAATTTATCAGTAAAAAATAAAGATATATTTATTTTGATGGGAGTTGATAGTTTAAAGATAATAATGATTGATTCTGTTTTAAAATAATATGTAAAAGATAATAATGATTGATTCTATTTTAAAATAATATGTAAATTTCAAACAATGAAAATGAGTTTTAAAAAATTTAATATGTAACGTGTATGTGTGGAAAGGGGGAAAAGAGAGCAAGCCTGATATATTTCTAACCAACTTAACCACAAAATCGAAATACCAACAATGGACAAACGAGTCTCAATAATACGCAATTTGGCACAAATGCATCCCGTAGGCCTTTGGCTCGCAAAGGAATCAATTGCCCGTATCTTTCCAAGCATTCTTATTTCTAGTTGGTGCACACTTTCAACTTTTCCTCACATTTCAGTTGGTATTTGCAAGGTATACTAGAATAGAATATACAGAATCTGGAATTACACGTCTACTATAATTATGCACTTTTTGTTAGCGATATTTTGGTTATTTTTTGCCCGCAGATGGCTAAGAATTATTATAAATACATCGATCGAAAAATTTTAAATTATAAACAGGACGCATCCAAATTTAAAAGTGATAGATACTGAGGTCACGAACATAAAATATATGCAACCGTGGCTACAGCGGAAAATCACTCGCCTGCTTCAAACCGCTATGATTTGTTTTGGACAATATTTTATATAAAATAGTTATATCGCTTGTCACGATTCTCGGATAAAAATTAATGCGTGATATTTAGATAAATATTTAACAATTAAAAAAATACTGGGTAGAGGACCAAAAAGTTGCATATAACGTTGAGAATATAAATACAACAAAGGATTACATAGAGAAGAACTGTAAATTAAACTAAGAAATAAAGGACAAAATATAAGTTTTAGTCTGATAGTATCTAAAGGCAAAAAATTAAACTGCAGGAAAATATATATAATACCTACTACTAATATTATAGTTTGGGGTTGGAACCTTTGGTGTTATAACAGCAAAATAAAGACACTAATTCACCACAACACAGAAAAACACTAGACCCGCGTTTTACTATGTTAGTATCATCAACAGATGATTAAAATTAAAAAAAAACTCTGTTTAGTTTCTGTTTAGTTCTGTTATTCATCTGCTGATGATGCTAACATAGTTGTAGATTGTAGATTGTATGAGAGGGGGGAAGTTAATCACCGCGACCTTATAGATCTATTGTGTCAGAGAGATCTTGAGTTATAACTCATCATACAGTCTCAGGACTTTGCTAAAGCCAGTATCTGAGATGCATTTATAGAGGTTTGTTCTCCATCTCCGATATCAGATGTAGGTACCAAAATTTGTGGCATGAATAGTCGTCGCCTCGGTCCACTCAGTGATGAGGTGTTTCCCCATTTCCCCACAGAACGCGCATTTGCCGTTTTTCCTTATCTTCATCCTACTGAGGTGTTCATTGAGGCGATAGTATCCTGTTAAAAACCCCGTCACTTAACACAAGAAATGCTAAAATGGTTATAAAAAGTCTGGTGATAAAAGTAAAGTGTTTTAGTGTACTGTAATGAACTGGTGTTTTTATTTTGCTATTTTATCTACTACTAAATTTGAATATTAATTTTGGATTGATTATAAATTATAATAGGTATAAGCATAAATTAATTTAGGTATAAGGTAAAATAAGTTTTGTAATCTATTGGAGAAAGTTAAATGAAGACACCACAGGTGGTAAAGTGAGGTTTCTATCAGAAAGGTGTATTTAGAGAAAAGCGCATAATAATATAGATTTGGCTTATACGCCCCAACAAGCGTATAACAAATTTTCTCGTATACATGCTTAGTAATTCACGCAGTATGAATACGAATGTGTTGGGCTTATATAAAACAAAACGCGTTTAGAATTGCTGCACTAGTAAATTTGAACAGCGTATCAGGAATTACGGTTATTTTATAGCTTTGCACTTCGTGGCAAATGAAATTTGCCTACTCATGCAGCTGTGGCATGACAAAATTAAGCACACCATTTTTAACAAGGCCGCTGAAACACACGATAGTGTTTCTGATAAATATGACGTATATCTGGCGAAATCTCGTTTTGATTTGCTTTTTCATCTCTGGCGATTCGATAGCGCTTGTGGTCGACGCTCCAAAAACAAATCTCGCTAATTTGTCATATTTAATGTCGATAGAGACAATTTCAAAATTCGAAGCCGAAAAATTTTACAAAAGGACAGAAATTATTTAGGGCCTGCGTGTAAATTTTCAATGTTAATTATAACCTTTAGAAACTTGATACATGGGTAATCATTTAATTTATAACTATAAAAATTCAAATTATATGTTGCAAATTGTATCTACCTCTTATACAGTCTGTTGCATCACCTACCTAATTTAAATTTTAAAATTGTTTGAATGTAAATTTTAAAAATAATTAATAAGTTTTCCCTATTTTATTAGTTATTTGAAACATTTTAAAGATTTTTTCATGCGAATTACATGGGATTTTCTATGACAACACACGGTATATGTTAATAGCAATAAAAAATAAATCTGGATTAGTTTTTAATTGTGTTTTTAATCTTTTCAAACAGAAATATATACTTCCAAAAATTCTGGAAGAACGCCATATGAATATACCATATATTCGCTGCATAATTTTCGCTGTAGATTTCTTGGCTTCTTATTGGAAAATTTACAGTTCCTGTTTTATTTTGAAATGAAATTTTATTCGCTCAGAAGAATTTATACTTAGATTGTAACGGTCTTATTTTAGTAGCAATATGCTGCTGAAAGCAAGTTTCAATTCGAAAATCGGCGCTATTTCCTTTATTGATCATTATTTTATTTGCAAGTGCCTTTACCAGAAAGTTATCGTTAGTAAAAGCTTCCTCGGGACTGTAACTAGTGGACAGTATTTTATGCTCGGGGCCGCACATTCTAAGGTGGGACAGAAAACTTTTTTTTGCTCAAAACTTTGACTCTGTGCTTTATTATATATATCTCTCGTGAAATGTTCTGAAAAATTCCCAGTTTCCGGAGTTATTTACGTGGTTACGGCAGCAAAGTTTTGATTAACCCCAAAATAGTTTATTGAGTTTCGATATGGTAGATAAGTTCGGAAGCATGGATAGCTGATATGCGAAATTATTTCTGCTGAAACGTTAAAAATTTTCATAATAGTTTATTATTAGTATGATAATTATCCACAATATTATACCCTAACATATAATTATTACTCATATACAATATTAAAATGACTGATAAGATGAAACTCTCGCCAATATATAGGTACAAAGAGGCCAAAGCAAGAGTAATGATATGAACACTTATAACGGACATTATAAGGAAACTGCAGGCCGCACAACGCCCAATGGAACGAAATATACTGAGAATTACCATGAAAGACCGTAAAGAATAGAGTGGATACGACAAAAAACCGAGTTAATAGCTGTCATCCGCAGAATCAAATCTCTCAAATGGCAATGGACAGGACACCTGGCAAAAAGGATGGACAACAGATGGACCGCAAAAATGACAGCATGGTACTCACGAGGAATTAAGAGAACTAGAGGAAGACCAAAGCTGAGATGGAACCATGATATTAAGAAAATAGCAGGGTTTAACTTGGACCCGCATAGCGAACAATAGACAACCAGTGGGCCCAACTACAAAGCGATTCTCTAAATATGTGAGGGAGTCTACACCATAATTAATTGGAAATGGTTGAATTATGCTGAAAATTATGATGATGATGATATAATATTCCTCTTATGAGTGAAGTCTATTGTCGTATCTTGTTTCAACCATATTGTTTTCAGAATTGACAATGATTATAATGGTTGTTTTCAAAATTCGTAATGATAAGACATAATATAAATGATATAGACAACTTATAAATGAAGACATAATAATACAAAATTCTAAAACAAAATTTGCCAAGAAATATTTTCACGGAAAATATTTTGTTATCCTTTCACATAGACGGAATATTTTCAATGCAAAATTTTGGAAATTTAAATCACAAACAATACGAAAGGCGTATAAATATTTCGCATAGTTATCATTAAAATTATATTAAAAACATGTTACTCAGTCTTCGGATAACTGAGCAACTCCCCTTGCTTTGATACACTTCAACGTTTACTTTTGCATGCCTCAAGAAATTCTTAAAATTATCCATCCAAACATCCTTCGTTCTAATAATTCTCTACTTCAGTCTTTCAAAATCGATACTACATTTGAATAAAATGGTTCTCTTTTTACACAATATTTCCACAAATCAGTTTTAAAAATAGTACCTAATTAACAGTACCTAATTAACTAACTCACAGTATGAGAATATGAAAAACAAATTATTAACAATAACATTATTGTGATTGAGATTTTATATATATTTAGATTAGTATAAGTTTAATTTTGTTGAACTGTAAAACGTTATAAAACCATTCCATTCTTTTCTAGGTTATAGAATGCGAGCAAGAGTCAACGGAAGTTATTGTAATGGAAAATGGAACCTTTAAATAGACACTATTTCCTTAGGCTTCAAGATATGACAGCAACGCAAGCGTTTTTTCTTTTTTGCACTCTATTGCAGCCCATCCTCACTGAAGGTAAAGCTCATAAATGTTTCCTTTACATATAGAATCGGATTTCGATAAAAAATGGGGTGAAATCCCGGCACCATATTGAAAATATTACCTCTTAACCAAAAACTATGATTTGTCGTTTTTATTCATGGGACAATTTACTTTTTACTTTTCTATTATTTATCCTAGATCAAAAAAATCCCACTTGGTAGGCAGATTTTTGTTATAAGTCTTTTTGCAATATATCGAGGTTTTAGATATTAATATTTTTTGGTAAAAACTTTCCTTCATATTTTTATTCAATTTTTAGAAGTATCACAGAAAAAATATTTTAAATTAATTTTACGTTTTTTTAAACTTAAATATGTTTTTTCTTTAAATAATTGTTAAATAATGTTAATAGATTTTGGGCGGATTCGTTCTAGATATAAAAAAACACACTAAGGAAGTATTCTTGAATAGTTGTATTTGTTCAATTAATAAAATAGGAATTTCCTTATTGAAATTGATTAATTCAATTTATTACAATATTTTTAAACAGTTCAATAAAATTGATTTATTTCGGAAATATTTTAAAATCTTTGATAATATTTTTATTCAAAATATTATAAGCAAGATGTATAGTATACACCGCATAAACCTGACATTAGCATTTTTCACGGAAATTCAATATCAATTTGTCGCTTTATTGAAATCGCAGAGAATTCTTCAAAACCCGATTGTTACATATACCTTTTATACTTCGCAACATGTAAAACAAAAATATTTTTTTAAAAAACAGATGTTTTTATATTTATATATAATTTAATATAAATAGTATTGGGTTTGTTTCAAACCAAACCAAACCAAATCAATAAATTTCCACTGTTAATCAAAGGATGTTCTAAACCGCTTAGCTTAGCTTCTTAAATACTTGACATAATATATAGATAAAGTTTTACAAGTTGCTTTAACCTCCCTCTAATAGTGGATTAAGTACATTAATTTATTTCAAAATAATTTGACAAGCTACAGATAAACTAGGATATTATGTAAGTTAAATTCCCTTCCAGTTTCTGTAGATATTTAGTTTCTTACAATCATTATACCTGCTTGCCGGTGCCCCATTAAGAACATACAGGAAAATCAATAAGCCCAATATACAGTAGGATCAAATATTTTACATCTATATTTCCTATATTATTCTACGTCTTTTAATTAGTTAAGTAACAGTATTTTTTAAATCGGTGACATGACGAAAATCGCCAATTTTCATGACTATATGTATGGAAAAAAGTCGAAAAAATTATCAATTTTTGGTTAATTTTTACATTTTCAAATGCCTTAGAAAATAAGAAGCCGTAACCATAAAATTATAAAAACTTCAGAAGTTGTAGGAAATTTTATGTAGATTCAGAATATGTACACTTTTCAAAGCTTAGATATCTTGGTTTTGTGAGAAAATTAATTTTTTGGGTGCTTGTTTTTGAGCTATTTTTGAAGATGGATAAAACATCTCGTACATCCATTACTATTATCGTAACACTATATTTTCTTATTATACGCGTTTTAATTAGCAATTAGCAAATAACAGTATTTTTAACAAAATCGGTGACATGACGAAAATCGCCAATTTTCAAGATACATACTATATATAGATATGGAAAAAAGTCGAAAAAATATCCAATTTTTGGCTATTTTCTACACATTTTCAATGGCCTTAGAAAAACAGTAAATGAATTCATAAAATTATCAAAATTTCAGCACTTGTAGAAATGCTGAAAGTTGTGGTGTTCTACGGTAATTTTTTATGCAATGTATGCATTCTTTAAAAGAAGCCGGCTCAAAGTTATAAAACAAAAGATTTTATAGAGTCGATTTTGGGGAGGAAAAATCAAGTTATGGATTTTTCCAGCTCAGTGTCAAAACCTTAATCCGATTGAAAACTTGTGGATAGAATTAGAGCGATCCGTCGACGACGAAGTTCGATCAACAGCAAATAACAATTGATGAATATTTTGCAAGAATTCAGAAATCAAACGACATATACAATAGTTTATTCGAGATATTAGAGAGCACTCTTGCATAGCTTTGACAGAAATATACAGGGTGTCCCGAATGAAATTTGGAAATGTTTTGTGCTAGAGGCTCAAAAGAAACTGTTCTATGCTTTAAAAAAAATATAATTAATTTAAAAAATAATAAGTTTCCCAGATTTATCATTTCAATCAAACAAGTATCTAGTCACACACTAGTTATTTAGAAAATATCGAAATAATAATGAAAATTCTACACCCTGTACTTCCGAAAGGAAGTATTTTGGGACATACATTTATACGAACATTTTTAATTATTTTTATATGCAGAATATGCTGCCAACGTTTCTCAAATACAATTCGCCTTTAATATAGATATACTACAATCAACAATACCATCCTAAACAGCATTTCATTATAATCCCTATGTCCACAGTCTATAATAAAACACCGAATATCAGCTTTAACTAAACTATGTTGCACAGAGTTGGTGTAAGTTATGTCAATATGACTTAATAAATTCATAGAGCTAACTTATTACGTCGAACATATTGACATTGTTTAAGCAATATGTCAGTAAACTATTTACCCTGAAAATATGTTGATATCATATAAGTTAACTTTTGATTTAAAAAATATATTCTTACTATCTCAAGAGTATAAAATAATTAAGACTAATTTAACGTATTAAATACCTAGAATAAAACTGTATACCGGGTGGTGCAGCGTTGTTGGAAACAGGAAATCCCATGCAAATCTTAAGCTATCCAAATATTGGATTTCCTGTTGATTTTACAGCCAAGTCGTAATTAGGGTTTTTAAAGGTCTGCATAGGCTGATTTCAATACGCATGTCAAATTTGAACAATTTTAAACAAGCCAATATTACCTGTTTTTCCTGTATTTATGTTGTTACCTTGAAAAACGTATTTACGACTTGGCTGTAAAATCAAAAGTAGAGCCAATATTTGGTCAGTTCAAAATTTGCATGGGACTTCCAATATCTCCAACGGCGATGTACCACCCTGTATAAAAATATATATAAATAGTATCAGTATAGAATATGCGAAATTAAAATTTTTCTTTGGCGATGTGCTAATTAAAATTTTAATTAAGTACGGGAATTTATTCTATAATAAAATATTGGCAGCTATTGACATATTTTCGTAGGACCATAGTAAATTCCTCGAATATTATCGTGTATCTCGCAGAGCAATTTTACTTGGGCTATTTTAAAAAATGTGTAGCTGTGGCGGCTATACTAAACTCCGGACACTAATTAAACTAACAAAGTTATAAGCGGAACGAGCCTGTTAATTATGTTAAAATTCTTTCGCGTATTAAATAGACCGATTAAGTGTAGAGCTTTAAAGAGATTAATACACTACATATTTTTTCTAGATAAATAGATAACATGTAACTGGTAGATTGTACATTGTATGGGACGGAAAAAGATAATCACCTCAGAGGTGTTCATTGAGGAGACAGTGTCCTGCTAAAAACTCCGTGACAATCCGAAAATTTTTCTTACTTAAATCAAGGAAAATCTTTAGTATTTCTCGGTCGTCAGCTCTGGAGGATTTCCATTAGGGGTTACAGATGGAGTCTTCCAGGTTCTTCAGTTCTGCTTTTAATTCGTTTCACTTGAGAACAGAATGGTTCGGGTCCAGTTAGTGGAGTTTTCTCTCCCTCTCTTGCTAGATCGTTTGTTTTTTCACTACCTTCTATCACTTGATGGGCTGGCACCCAGAGTAGGAGGACATTATTCTTTGCCTAATTTGTTTAGCTTCTAAGCATTCTTTGACCAACTTGGAATCGATGGTTACTGAGTTGATAGCTCTTAAGGCTGCTTTAATCGGATAAGACGGCTATTTCCTTGTTTCTCAGAGTTCCTATCTAAGATAATTTGTACGCATCTTTCAATAGCGTATGTTTCTGCCTGAAGGATGCTGGGGTAGGTGCCTATTGTTTCGGAGTATTTCGTTTTTAGTTCAGATCTCTGTTCCTGCTTTGTTTTTGGAAGCATCAGTTTATCATGTTATGGTATGGTCTTTTAACTGCTAAGCAAACGTTTTCAGGAGCAACTTCTCTTCCAAATCCTTTTATTACTCAATACTACAGTGAGGTATTTTTTGTACGTTGCTAAGTTGTACGTTCTTGGTATGTCATCCACTGGGAGTTGGGGTAGTGGAATTTTCGTTTTGAGTTTTTTATATATTTTAAAACAGCCCTCTGTAAATAAATAAATAATATATTAAAATTGTCACGTCATACTCTGGAACTTCAAAAATATTCGAAATATCCAATCCGGCAGTCAAAGATAAAAAGAATTTAATAATTTAATATATTTCCGTTACATTTGATTTCAAACTGCAATTAAAATAATATTAAAGTCATTTAGATAAAATAAATTGGAAAAAGTATTCGATTTTAGTTGATCAACTGCGTTCATATTTAAAGCGATCATAATAAAACATAAAACAGAAGTAGCGTGTATAATCCGATTATTAGTACATTAATTAACATTTCTACATTTTATTACATCACATCTGGACATATTGCTAATAAAATAATAAATATACACTCACCGGTACGAAAAACGAGCACCTTAAAATTTTGATGTATTTTAATGTTTTATATGTACATTGCGTTCTAGCTGACCAATTTTGATGATCATTTCAGCAATTTGTAGCTAAATTATTTGACTTTTTGGTATCTCTTTATAACCAAAAGCTCCCATGTCAATTTTATACGGGTAATGTCAAAATTACTAAAAAAAAATGTTAGTGTCTTCTTCAAAAACGAATATCCCCAACAGAAATGTTATTGGAATGAACCAAAAAACAAACTATCGAGAAAGGATGCACCTAATTGATAGAATGATTTTTAAATTTCTTGCTCTTTAACATATTCCACAGGATGTTTCAAACTTTCACCAAAATACCGATATATTGTTTTCCCTCGTACACTTGACAGATGTAAACTTTCATTTCTAATTTAGAAAGAGTAA